GCGAGATCAACGTCTTCAAGGCATGTCTTGGGTGTCAAAGGATGGACAAGCAATGAGCTTTCAGAGGTCCAATGCAGACCCAAGTCTGTTCCTTATTATGGCACAAGAGAAGCCGGAAGGTGCAAGCAAGTTGGTAGGGACAATGGGTCTTTACGTGGATGATTTTTTGATGGCTGGGACTATGACAGTGCTCCGGGAAGCCTTGGAACAGATCAGGAAGGAGTGGAAAACTTCTGAACCCGAGTTCTGTGGTCCAGGCTGTGGTGGATTCCTGAAGTTTTTGGGTGTCCAAATCTGGTATCGAAATGGCAGCTTCTTTCTCAACCAGGAGGACTTCGTGAGAGATTTGCTGAACCGAAGAGGGTATCAGATTGATGAAGCGGGAAAAGGTAGTAATCTGCCAATGGTGAAAGAAACGCCAGGTGAAGAAGAGGAGGTGGATATTCCTTCCTTGCGAGCGGCTCAAGGTGCCGTAGGGGAGTTCCTCTGGGTGGCAATCAAAACTCGACCTGATTTGGCTTTCTGCGCAAGCCAGTTGTCTTTGTGGACATCCCGAAGGCCGCGATTTGTGGTTAAAAAGGCTGAGGAGGTATTTCGATACCTTGCTGCAACTCCAACGTTAGGTTTGACGTTTGGAGCAATCGCAACATGCGAAAAAGAAAGGAATGAGGTGTTGCGTTATGGGCGAGGCGTCAAGGTGGTGGAGTCCTACGCGGATGCTAGCTTTGCAGCAGGTGAAAACGAAAAGAGCCACTCAGGAGCGGTGGTGGTTTGGGGTGATTGTCCAGTGATGTGGGCAACGCAGAGACAAGCAACGGTGGCTTTAAGTACTGCTGAAGCTGAGTTGCATGCGTCTGTAGAGGGAGCAACGATGATTCAGTCGTGCACCCCTATAATTGCCGCTTTGGTTGGAACGGGTGAAGAATCGCTGCAAAAAGTGCTGTATACAGATTCGGTTTCGACGTGCTCAATCATTCAATATCCTGCTGGAAGCTGGAGGACAAGGCACCTGAGAATTCGAGCAGCTGGTGTCAGGTCTCTGGTGGACCGTGGTTACATGGTGATAGCGCATCTTCGAGGTGAGTATATGATTGCTGACCTGTTGACAAAATTGATGAGTGGACAGGTTTATGCGAAGCAAAAGGCGCTTTGGGGTCTCCAACTGTTGGTGCAAGGAACTGACTTGAAAAGGGCCTCTCTTGCAATGGCGGTCATGATGGTGGCTGCATCTCTGCAAGGGATGGCAACTGGTGGAGAAGAAGTGTCAAATGCTGGATTCTTTTGCTCAGGGGAAGGAGTGTGCAGAGTCGCCAATACATCTACGGTTATGGTTCTGGCTCAAGGTATTGAAATGGTTATCAGCAATGCAGACCTTGTTGCGTATTTGGTGGCAGCGATTATACTCTGGGAACTGGCCTGGTGCCTCTTTCGGCGGCTGTATAAATGGCTGTGGGTCAAGAAAGTGGTGGTTATTCCTGCGAGTGCCACTTTGTATACAACAGTGGGTGGGAACTGTATGCACGCAAGCAGTGACTGTGATGTTCTGCGATATTCACAGCCCAGGGCTAAGACGCTTTGTAAGCATTGCCTCAAGGATGGCTGGGTGGTGAATGCTGAGTTCCTTGGTGAGGAACGGGCCGCTGGAACGTAAACTTTTTCAAGTGCGAGGTGAAGAAATCCTCAATGGTAAGGGATTCGGCCAATGAGCTGAAGGTTCGTCCTGGAAAGACGTAAAACCATGGTGTGCAAATTAATGGCTATGGCCCGTCCATCGGACGTTAAACATGAAGATGACCGTTGTCAAAGCGACAATTTTTCGGTCAAAGGTCTGCACCTCCAGTTTGTGTCCTAGGAAAACCTAGGACAGGGGGAGTGCGGAGCTGCAGTTTGTATTGTGGAGAAGAGTTGGTGTTTAAGGTTAAAGGGTCAATGAACCCGGAATCATCTTGGCTCAAGACTGGGCCATGCGCCTGGTAGCAAAAAGAAGTTTCGAGTTCTTGGTGTTTGCTGGTTGGTTCAGGGTGAAACCTCTGGCGACTGTTAGGGTTGATTCCCTTCCCCTTTCGGTTGCCCCCGTATAGGGTTTAGGGGTTATGGAACCCGAAAACCCCGAAGAGTCCTTAGGGCCTAGATGACGTCGAACCCACGGAAAGGTTGTGCGCATGGCGGCCGTGGGGCTAAACCCCACTGACTGGAAGCACGTGGGGAATGGCATGTGACCTGGTTTCAGGTTTGTGGGTTTTTCAGGCTGGGCTCTACTTTGGAGGCTCATGGTACTTAAGAACCAAGCATAACCTCTACTTATAACCCAGTCTTACGCCCCTGAAGTCCCCAAATATGGTTATAGGTATAGTTATAAGTACAGTGATCATTGGTTAATAAGCACCATGAACCTCCAAGTAGGGGCTTTAGCTCCACCCACCCCACGTTCTGAAGCCTTGAACCCTACAGACGTCGTCGGAATCCGAAGGTTTTACCACTAAGCAGCGTTGAGGGTTTAGGGTTCGGATTGCCCCTGAGCCCTAAATCCTAAGCACTAAACCCTAAATAAACACGCTCCGAAAGCTCTCTAGACGCTAAACCCTGCACTGCAAAACCCAAAACCCTCAACCCTCAACCCTCAACCCCTAAGCCCCTAACCCCCAAACCCTAAACCCTAAACCCTAAACCCTAACCCCTAAACCCCAAACCCTAAACCCTAAACCCCAAACCCCAAGGCACTACTACACCATGACGAAGGCCACCGCTGAGAAGCCGGTGATTCTGGGCTCTGAGGGCTCTGGCACCGTGGAGCAGGCGGGGGGGAGGCTTAGGGTTTAGGGTTTAGGGTTTGGGGTTTGGGGTTTAGGGTTTAGGGTTTGGGGTTTAGGGCTTGGGGTTTAGGGTTTAGGGCTAAGGGTGTGGCAACGTTCTTTGCGCTCGTCGTGTGCCCTATAGATTGTCTTTCACGGGCCCACTCCCATGCGCGTCGCATGGCGGTATACCCACCCCAAACCACCCGGCGTATAGTGTTTTAGGGTTTCGGCCCCAGAGTCTGGTTGGTGTTCTCATCCGCCGTGGGCCTGTTCCACTGCAGTTTTACCTGGGCTGCACGTGGCGTGTGGTCAGGTCGCTCGCTGAGCTTCGGGCTCTCACGGTAGCGAGCCCTCAGCCGGACTTTGGGGTTTAGGGTTTCGGGTGTAGAGTTTAGGGCTTAGGGTTTGGGTTTAGGGGTTGAGGGTTTGGGGCTAGGTTTAAGGTTTCGGGTTGAGAGTATGCCTTGCAATGGGAAGCCTGAATGACGGTACCCCCCAAAAAGGTCGGAAACTCCACCTGCTGTGTGTCAAGCCGTAAACCCAAACCCTAAACCCCAAACCCTGAACCCAAAGCCCTAAGCCCTAAACCCTACACGCGAAACCGAAACCCCAAACCCTAAGCCCGACGTAATCCCGCCTGGAGGTGCCCGAGGGAAGCGCCTTCCAGGTGGGTCAGAAAGCCCCTTGGCCCCTTTATTGTCTTTTTGTGTTTCGGGTTTAGGGTTGAGGGTTTCGGGTTTAGGGTTTAAGGTTGGGATGGCCCCCTTATACTAACAGTACCTAAGGGACTACAACTCCCCATTACAATCCTGACTAAGTACTGTTAGTATAAGGGGGAACATCCCAAGTTCCGGAGTTTTGGGCCCCAGAAAGGGCGGGGAGGGTGTGAAGGGTGCTCGGGAGGTTCGGGGAGTGTCTTTCGGGCTTGGCACGGTTTGGGGTTTCTTTCGGTTTGCTTTTCTTGGGGGGGGTGTTTAGGGCTTAGGGTTTGGGGTTTGGAGGTTAGGGGCTTCCATAGGCTTCAGGATCTCGGTTTAGGGCTGTTCTAGGGTGGGTTGAGGGCCTGTGCAGAGCCAAGAAGAGAATGCCCTCCTCTTTTCCAGTCAGCCCTAAACCCTCAATAATCCTAAACCCAAACCCAAAAACCCGAAGCCCAAAACCCGAAGCCCGAAGCCAGAAACTCCACCCATCTTCACACCCTTAGAAACCGTGCCGAAGTGCCGAGCGCTCTCAAGCAACCGCCCCCCCAACCCCAAACCCCAAACCCCAAACCCCAAACCCCAAACCCCAAACCCCAAACCCCAAACCCCAAACCCCAAACCCCAAACCCCAAACCCCAAACCCTAAATCCCTAAACCCCAAACCCCAAACCCTAAACCCTAAATCCGAACTCCAAAAGGACTTGCATGAAGCCCTTAACCCTGGCCCACACAGACTACACGAGACCAGTTGAGGTGTGGTTCATGTCCTTCAAGACCTGCGCGGATGCCGGTCTCATTAACATAGGGGTCGGAATAATTAACAATATCCCCTTATGGCCCCTGTGTAATTCTACGACAATGACCCCAAGAAACCCTGTTCTACTTATTAAGGCCCCTGTAGTACCCTTACTGGTTCCTAGTAGGGAAGACGCGAGTCTTTCAATACCAGGGATCCAAGCCCCTACCTGCCCAAACCCCAGATGAGTCCTGAACCCCAAGCCCCAAACCCCAAACCCTAAGCCCTAAGCCCTAAACCCTAAACCCCAAAGCCCCAAACCCTAAACCCTTAACCCTTAACCCTTAACCCTAAACCCTAAACCCTAAACCCTTAAACCCTTAAACCCTAAGCCCGAAATCCTAAACCCTAAGCCCTAAACCCTAAACCCCTAAACCCGAAACCCCTAAACCCTAAACCCGTTCTTGATTCTCTTCCGGGTTCTCCTCGTCGCCCAATGCTTGGAGGAACTTCGGGGAGCTTCCGGTGTAGCGCTTCGTGAGGGTTTAGGATTTAGGGTTTAGGGGGTTTAGGGGTTGAAGCATCACCACGGAATGCAAATGGTAATAGCATCTTGAAAATTACTCAGAATCAAGGTTGTCTCACAGACGTCTTGATTTCTAAAATGCGCTTTTTGCTTTTTTGTACATGTCAAAGAAGCACTGCAAAGCCCTCAGCCCTAAACCCCAAAAACGGCACGAGGAGCTCGCGACGGTCAAAGATGAGTGCATGGCCCCGGCGCCTGAGCAAATGTCGATGGAGGAAGCTGGCAGCACCCCGCTGGCCCTACTCACGGCGTACCAGAGTATGCGCCTGGGTCCAGAGCTGTATAGGGTTTAGGGTTTAGGGTTTAGGGTTTAGGGTTTAGGGTTTAGGGTTTAGGGTTTAGGGTTAGGGGTTTAGCGCTTAGGGTTTAGGGTTCAGGGGTGAGGGTTCAGGGTTTAGGGTTCAGGGTTTAGGGTTTAGGGTTCAGGGTTTAGGGTTTAGGGGGCTCTAAACTGCTGCAGTAAAGCCCCTAAACAAGCCCCAAACTCCCGAAACCCGGAACCCTAAACCCCGAACCCGAAACCCGAAAGCCGAAACCCTAAACCCCCCTAACACCCGAAACCCAGGAAGGATGCCGGCTACTCGCAGCCCGGTTGCGGCCGAGGGCAAAGGATCCTCGTGCACGCCGGAGCTGGAGGCCTCCCCGGCAGGTTTTGTGTCACTGGGGGTTGTAGCCTTAAACCCGAAACCCCAAACCCCAAACCCCAAACCCTAAACCCTAAACCCTAAACCCTAAACCCTAAACCCTAAACCCTAAACCCTAAACCTAAATCCTAAACCCTAAACCCTAAACCCTAAACCCTGAACAGTTTGAGCTTAGGGTGTGTCTTGCCTTTCGGGCTTTTTGTGCCCGGATTCCAACAGACCCATGGTTAGGGAAGGTGAATGAATAAGGGGGTTCATCCAACTCCCCGCAATATAGGGGCCTCAATAATTAGAATAGGGTTTCTGGGGTTTTTATAGTAGAATGATACTAGTAGTAATTATGCCGACCCAGATATTATCTATCCCCAGCCTTCCCCCATGTGAAAAAAAGTATGTGTTCTTTTGGAGGTCTCTACGAGAGGTATCTTCCCTAAAGTCAGCACTCGTTGGAGTGGGACATTTTGCAATCCCTACACCCTAAACCCTGAACCCTCAACCCTAAACCCTCAACCCTCAACCCTCAACCCTAGACCCTAGACCCTAGACCCTAAACCCTAAACCCTAAACCCTAAACGTTAGAGGCGTGGGGCATCTTGCGCTGCAGCTGGCCAAGATCTACGAATTCGAGGTGGGGTTTAGGGTTTAGGGTTTAGGGCTTCGTTAGGGTTTAGGGTTTAGGGTTGAGGGTACCCCAAATCCTGAGCTACAAAAAGGCCACCTGAGTAACTACTAAGCGCCAGCAGCGCGACGTCTGCTCTTTGCTTGTACTTCTTTGTTCGTACCAGGAAGCCCTAAACCCCTAAACTCTAAACCCTAAACCCTCAACCCTCAACCCTCAACCCTCAACCCTCAACCCTCAACCCTCAACCCTAAACCCTAAACGCAGCTCTCCATGCATACCCCCGTCGCAAAACCGCTTGTTCCTGAGAGGGAATCAGGGACTTCGGTCTCCTACATGACGAAACGGGGGAGATCTGTCCGAAGCCCTCAGCCTTGCAAACTCAGAAGCCTACCTAAACCCTAAACCCCAAACCTTAAACCCTAAACCCTAAACCCTAAACCCCAAACCTTAAAGCCTAAAAACCCCCAACCCGAAAGAGAGAGGAGATTGTCACAACCTGCTCTGCTGCGAACGAAGAGTTCGTGAAGAGCCTGGGGGCCACGACCATTGTGGACTACAAAACCGAGGACTTCGTCACGAAGTACCCTTGGCCTGGGGGGGCTTTGTTTAGGGTTTAGGGTGTAGGCTGGTTGTGCGTGGCGTTTGGGGTTTCTGGGGTTGATTTTCTTGGGGGGGCTCTGGCTTTCAAGGGTTTAGTGTTTATGTACTCCCAAACTGCATGCCGACTTGTCTCCCGAAATCCTGAGCTCCATATCCCTACGCCCTCTTCAGTACCCTTGCTGTCATTACCATGGCTCAAGGAGTACCGTTTAGGGTTTGGGGTTAACGTCCCCAAAAGCCTCCGGAACCTGAAGCCCTAAACCCTAAACCCCTCTCTGAACCCTAAACCCTAAACCTTAGACCCGAAACCCTAAACCCTAAACCCGCAACCCTAAACCTCTGCAAAAGGGCCCAGACCCTAAGACCTACCTAGATGTTCCAAAACCCGTTAACTAAGGAATGTGCCGTAATTTATACCAAGGGTCCGTAGTAACAATTAGGGCATAACCCTAAACCCTAAACCCTAAACCCTGAGCCCTAAGCCCTAAACCCTAAACCCTAAACCCTAAACCCCAAACCCTTTCGGAAGATCTGGCTAGGTACGCCAACAACAAGTTCGACCTCGTCGTGGACCCCGTGGGTGGCGATCCTATTGGCTGCTGCTGTGCTGCCCAGAGCCCCGGACAGGGTTTAGGGTTTAGGGTTTAGGGTTTAGGGTTTAGGGTTGAGGGTTTAGGGTTTAGGGTTTAGGGTTAAGGGTTAAGGGTTAAGGGTTAGGTCAAGGGTTAAGTGTTTTGAGATAGGCTTCTTAAGGTTCGATTCGAAGATGAGGAACTTTCGGGAATGTCGCTGTTTGCTAGGGCTAGACGTGGACTCGCCGTTTCGCCAGCAATCGCTTGTGCACCACCCGGACAAGGCAGGTGGATCAGAGCAAGCCTTAAGCAGTTGTTTCTGGCCCGGGACGTGGTCATGGAAGCCGTGTCCCCCAAGTTGGAAAAGGAAGAGGAAGCCACGAGCAGGGCAAAGTCCACATTTCCGGGTGCTTTGTGTTGGTGTCCGACCTGCACGCAACTCTCAGTGAGTTTGAGTGCTTGTATGGGATGTGCGTCGGACAAGGCGAGGGTTCCTGTGGATACTTCACACCCGCAACAGGGCGGTACTCCAGAACGGCCAGTGCATGAAACGAGAAATGTCACACCGTGCTGTGGACCCTGGCTCTGCTGTTTGCGGAGGGTTGCAAAGGTGTACCTTGCTATGGGTATGGGGTCGATTGTTATTATTTGTTGAAGAGCCCCCAAAGAACACAAGATAATAATCCTTATATTGCCCTTATATATGGAAGAATCGTCTGGTTTTTTGGGGTTCTTGAGCATTTAGTAGATGAGGTTTCGGGCTTTGAAGCTTTCTTCGGGCGTTGAAGTCTTGGGACTTTGCAGCCCAAACCCTAACCCTCAACCCAGAAGCCCCTGAGCACCTGTGCGAAGCCTGAAAGCCCTAAGCCTGAAGCCGTCTAAGCCCTAAATTCCACAAGCCCTAAACCCTTAGCCCCAAGCCCTAAGCCCGAAACCCTACACCGCGAGACTCGCTCGCGCAGCAAAGGAACCCGCTGTCCCAGTACATGCCCCGGAGCAGGAAGGTCACGAAGAATGGTGGCACAGTGGCTCGAAGCACATCTTGAGTTTTAAGGGTTTTAAATCGGGTTTTAATAAGGTTAGAACCCTACACCCTAAACCCTAAACCCTAAATCCTAAACCCTAAATCACCCTAAACCCCCTACACGCCCTAAACACCCTAAACGCCCGAAGTGAAGGTGGTGGGAATCATCACTGGCACCTCACTTCAAGGAGCCCCCTGCGGCATCTCGGTCGAGCGAGAATCGGGGGTTGGAGCTTTTTAGGGGCTTTAGGAGTTTTAGGGTTAGGGTTTAGGGTTTAGGGTTTAGGGTTTAGGGTTTAGGGTTTAGGGTTTAGGGTTTAGGGTTTAGGGTTTAGGGTTTAGGGTTTAGGGTTTAAGGTTAGGGTTTAGGGTTTAGGGTTTAGGGTTTAGGGTTTAGGGTTTAGGGTTGGTTTAGGGAGAGTTTAGGGTTGAGGGGCCAAGAGATCAGTGAACCTTCACGGCCTGAAGCTCAAGACCCTTTAACACTCTGCCTTTCCACATATATAGATATACATACATACATACATATATAATATATGTATGTATATATACATATGCGCACACACACACACCTGCGTAAATGTTGAGGCGCACACAGTCTAAGAATGTTTTGGTGTGCAGCAGGTCATTGTGTTATGCTACTTTCGGAATGCAGATTGACTTGCATTGTGTTATATGATTGGTACATCACACTCCGCGGTGCTCCAAACCCTAAACCCTAAACCCTAAACCCTAAACCCTAAACCCTAAACCCTAAGCCCTAAAGCCTAAACCCTAAACCCTGAACCCTAAACCCTAAGCCCTAAAGCCTAAACCCTAAACCCTGAACCCTAGCTCGAAACCCTAAACCCCAAACCCCAAGCCCTAAACCCTAAGGTGCCAGCCCATGCAAGCTGAGGCGCCATTGCTGCGGTGTGCTGCTCCTGCCTTCCGGCCCTGTGCCTCGCGCGAGCGAGGTTTAGGGTTTAGGGTTTAGGGTTTAGGGTTTAGGGCTTCGGGTTTAGGGTTCAGGGTTTAGGGTTTAGGGCTTCGGGTTTAGGGTTCAGGGTTTAGGGTTTAGGGCTTCGGGTTTAGGGTTCAGGGTTTTGAGTTTGGGGCTTCGGGTTTAAGGTCTAGCAGGTACAGCCGAGGGGTGAAGGGTTCGTTTAGGCTCCCCCACAAACCAGCCGTAAGGTGCGGCTACCGGTGCATGAGCGCATGCGGCCTGGGGCCGAAGACGCTTGGCCACGATCCTGAGGGTATAGGGTTTAGGGTTTAGGGTTTAGGGTCCCATTTTTGTTGTTGTTCTTGGCTTGTTCTTGTTCTGCTTGTCCTTGCAATGCGTGTTACAACATTCTCCTTCTTACGTTCTTCTTCTCATGTTCCTCCTTCATGTTTCATTTATAACAGGTGGCTCGGCGTTTAGGATCCGGGGTCAGTCTAGGGTTGCAAGTGCAGGACGGATATGGAAGGATGTAGGGCCTAGTTCGGGCTTGGGTCGCACGGGCCCCTGGAACAGGCCGTGCAATTAAGGGTTTAAGGGTTTAGGGTTTATAGGTTCAGGTTATGACGAGTCTACTGGCAACTATGGCTCCTATCAGGGGGGTGCAGCCCGCTGGTGTTGGGACTTGCCCTAAGCCCAAAACCCTGTTGCGTCTTCGTGGCCTGGAATCTTGGGTTTCTGAAGAGCAGAGTACTCTTCCAAGCAAGGGTTTAGGTTTGGGGTTCAGGGTTTAGGGTTCAGGGTTTAGGGTTGAGGGTTTAGAGATGTTTAGAGTCTAGGGTTCAGGGTTTTGGGGTTTAGGGCGTGCTTTTGAGATGGAGGTTGACCTCACAAATGGGTCGTCTTGGGGTATTACAGCCCTTCCAAACCCTCAGCACTGAACCCTGATCGCTTCTTAGTTAAGGGTGCGAAGAAAGGGACCTGCAAAACCCAAAACCCTAAACATCCCTGACCTACATCCTAAACCCTAACCCCAAACCCACCTTGCACTTGCCCACGAGCCCGCCCGGGCCACAGGCCCTCCGGGCAACTCGGACAACCCCCGCCCGCCCATCCCTGTGCCTCTCCCAGGTACGTGGGACCCTTCATGCTGCGCGCTAACGAGGCTAACGTGGACCTCACGAGGCAGGCGGCTAGGATTTGGGGTTAAGGGGTTTGGGGGTTCAGGGGTTTAGGGGTTCAGGGTTACTTGGGGCTCAGACTCACCTAGCTTCTGGGGCTCTGAGCAGCATCACGCAAGGCTCCGTGAGTGGGTGGACCAGAAGCTCCTGCGAACGGAGATCGCTGAGGTCTTCAGCGCCTCGACTTGATTCGACCCGAACCCCAATTCCCTACATTTAACAAACCGTTAACCTTAAATCAACCCTAAACCCTAAACCCTAAACCCTAAACCCTAAACCCTAAACCCCAGACCCTAAACCCCAACCTTTGCCAGTCTCACCCGCAACCGCAAGCTTGCCCCGGAAAAAGCCGAGAGTGTGATACCCCCAGATCCCCAAACCCCTAAGCTCTCAGGTTCGAAAGTCAGCAACTCCCCAAAGCTCTCAAATTTAGACCCTAAACCATAAACCCTAAACCCTGAACCCGAAGCCCGAAACCAGGTTTCGAGGATGCTCCCAAAGCCCTCGAGACTCTGGAGGAGGGCGGAGGGCACAACGCGAAGAAAACGACGCTTGGAGAGCCAAGGTCCTTGCAAGCGTTTCAGAGTTTGAGGCTTAGGGTTTAGGATTCAGGGTTTAGGGTTCAGGGGCTATGGAAGAGTTTAGGGATTTGAAGTTCAGGGTTCAGGTTTAGAGGTGTTGAGGGTGTTCGGGGTGGATGTTTTCGAAGGAGTTTTGGGGTATGGGGTTTCTGGGTTTCAGGGTGCTCCCACCTTTGGGGTCTGGAGTTTCGGTCAGTAGAGATAAGCCAAGCAGTTGAGTTTCGGGCTTCAGGTTTCTGAGTTTGAAGGCCTACTTCGAGGTTCAGGGTACATCCCCTAAAACCCTAAAACCTACCCTTAAGCCCTAAACCCTAAACCCTAAACCCTAAACCCTAAACCCTCAACCCTGAACCCTGAACCCTAAACCCTAAACCCTGAACCCTGAAGCCTGAACCCTAACCCCCGAATCCCTAAACCCTAAACCCTAAACCCTAAACCCTAAATCCCAAACCCTAAACCCTAAACCCGAACCCTTAACCCTAAACCCTACTTGTAAGCCCCCTAAGTCCTCTGGGTTAGAAAAAAGATTTCTCAATGAGGTTAGAAGCCCAAGTAGGGGCTCAGGGTGTTGAGGGTGTTCAGGGGTGGGTTTTAGGGTTTAGGGTTTAGGGTTTCGGGTTTAGGGTTTAGGGTTTAGGGTTTAGGGTGTTCAGGGACCTTAAGTTAGGTTTAAGCGTGTTCGAGGCTTGGGGATTTCGGGCTTGGAGGGACTCGGGGAACCTTGAACCCAAAGTTGCTTAGTTTTCAGGGTTTAGGGTTTAGGGTTTAGGGTTTAGGGTTCAGGGTTCAGGGTTCAGGGTTTCGGGTTTAGGGTTTACCTGAATCCCTGCATTCTTTGGAGCCGGGTATTTCCTTCGAAGTCTTCCGACCACAGCCCAGGAAGAGCAAGCCCTTCCGGGGCAAGGTCGTCGTAAAGGTGAGCTGAGCCAACTCGTCCCATCACGTTTTTCGGGGTTGAGCACGAAAACCTATCATTCCGAACACTACGCCATGTAAACCCCAAGCCGAGCAACCCTAAACCTAAACCTTAAACCTTGAACCCTAAACCCCAAACCCTAAACCCTAAACCCTAAAAACCCTAGACCCTAAACCCTAAACCCTTAACCCTTAACCCTTAACCCTAAACCCTAAACCCTAGACCCTAAACCCAAACCCTAAACCTTGACCTCTCCAAGAGGCTTACAAGGATTGTCGATTGTTGGCGGCAGCTCCATGTAGAGTTCACGCGGGCGCAGCCGAAGCTTGCCGTGCCTGTGGCAGATTCCCTGCCCCTTCAGAAAAAAGGGGACCTTCTGGGTATGGGTCTAGGGTTTGGGGTTTAGGGTATAGGGTTGAGAGTTTAGGGTTTAGGTTCTAGCGTTCTTGAGAGGGATGGGGGGGGGGGTCCCTACTTTGGGAGCTGCATATCATGCGGAGGCGAGCTCTCAAAGGCCGATCCCTTGCTGACTTCCCTTGGCTGCTGTGTTAGGCGGGAGAGCCCTCGAATCTCGCGCCCTCAACCCCTAAACCCTAAACCCTAAACCCTAAACCCTAAACCCTAAACCCTGAACCCTGAACCCTGCTTCCGCGGCTGCTGAAGGCGGGAATTCCTGCATCTCGCCCCCCCCTCCCCTTACTCCGCCAAATTGAAGCCATGGCTTGGCTCCCCCTGCTGGCCTTCTTCCTTGCGGGCGCGAGCAGCTTCAAGCTTCAGAGCCGCTGGGACCCAGCATGGCCCCCTTGTTCCCTTTTGTTTTTTTTATAGTTTTTTGAGGGGGGGAGGGGGGCGGTGGGGGGAGGGGGGGTTAGGCTCCCTTAGAAGCCGCCCTTAAAGCTAAAAGGAGGGTGCCCTGTTTTCTTTCCTGGGTTACTCTTCGGTTTAGCGGTTTAGTAACCCTAATTCCTAAACCCTAAACCCTGAACCCTAAACCCTGAACCCTAAACCCTAACCCTAAACCCTAAACCCTAAACCCTAAACCCTAAACCCTAAACCCTAAACCCTAAACCCTCTTAGGCAATTCAAGCGCCCTCTTCGAGGGCTCAGCCACTCCATGGGAGCTGGTGCTGAAAGTCGCCAAGCGCCTCGGTGGGCCCTTACCCTTGAGGGTTTAGGGTTTAGGGTTTAGGGCTTAGGGTTTAGGTTTGAGGGTTTAGGGTTTAGGGCTTAGGGTTTAGGGTTTAGGGTTTAGGGTTTAGGGTTCAGGGTTTAGGGTTTAGGGTTTAGGGTTTAGGGTTTAGGGATTTAGGGGTTTAAGCTTTAGAGTCGCCTCGGTGGGCCCTTGTGGGGAGAATCTACAGGTTTCTTCCTGCCCTTCAGGATGTAGGGTTCAGGGGTTGTAGGGTTTAGGGTTCAGTGTTCCTACACCCTAACCCCTAAACCCTACACCCTAAACCCTAAACCCTAAACCCTAAACCCTAAACCCTAAACCCTATTCCACAAGCTGACCAAGGACCGATAAGCTTGGATTCTCCTCGGCGTTGTGGACAAGCTCGGATCTGCTGAACCAAGACTCGCCGTGGGAGAAAGAGGAGTTTAGGGTTTAGGGTTTAGGGTTTAGGGTTTAGGGTTTAGGGTTTAGGGTTTAGGGTTTAGGGTTTCGGGTTTAGGGTTTGGGGTTTAGGGTCAGGGTTGTGGCGGTGTAGGGCTGAGAGTTCCAGGGGTGAGGGATTAAGGGGTTCCAGTGGGGGGCTTCGAGGGATCTGGAGGAAGATGCCAAGTACGACGCCTACAACAAGGTCCCCTTCAAAAAGTGTCTGGGCTGCTACTAAACGAAGCTGAGTGTAAGCTACTATCTTCTCAACGCATAGTAAATCACGTCTGGTACCCCGAAACCCTAGACCCTAAACCCTAAACCCTAAACCCTAAACCCTAAACCCTAAACCCCAAACCCCAAACCCTAAACCCTAAACCCCAAGCCCTGACCCTACCCCAAACCCTAAACCCTAAACCCTAAACCTGAGCCCAGGATTCGCATGTGTGTTGGAACCCCCCAGTCCAACTGTGTGGAGCACGTCTTCGCCAAGAAGTACCAAAGTGCCAAGGCACTCTTCTCCGCAGGCTACATCCGCGATGAGAGCCTACACTGTTCAGCACACCCTAAACCCTGGACCCTAAACCCTAAACCCTAAACCCTAAACCCTAAACCCTAAACCCTAAACCCTAAACCCTAAACCCTGAACCCTACACCGCCCTCTAAGTTGCTTTTATAAACCTAGTTCCCAAAATTGACAGCACCAGCAAGCACATATTGTTAAGTGTTGGAGCCATAGCTGTTTTGTACTATTTGGGGGCTCTATTTTCTGGATCCTCCCAGGGGTCTGGGTAACCCTAAACTAAACCCTAAGCCCTAAAACTAAACCCTAAACCCTACACCTCTAGACCTCTAAGAGCAGCTCAGGACCGTCAAGCAGGATGGCATCCTGAAAGCATTCGGCCCGAAGAAAGGGGCCTACCAGGACTGCGCCATGCAGAGGCCGGGGGTTTAGGGTTTGGGGTTTGGGGTTTGGGGTTTAGGGTTTGGGGTTTAGGGTGCAGTATAGGGGCCGGAATAATTACTCAAAGTATTCCCTTATGGTCCCTGAATAAATATACGATAATAGCCTAAAAACCCCTTTCTAATTATTACAGCCCCTTATATGAGTTTGCTATCTCTTGCGACCAAGAGCGCTCAACACCCCTTAGTTGAATACCTGAAGCATGAGACGATGTAGGATCCTTTAGCACTATGAGTGAAGAAGTCCTCCGTCGCTATAGTCATGGGTTTCCCTAGTACTCTCCTCTATACTAGCCCGCCTAGGTTCCCCCCTTAAATAACCTTAATGAGGTTTAAGTATCCCTAAATACAGCCCTTAATTATGGGGGGGCACCTTATGAGGGAGGGAGTAGGGGAACCCGTGATATAGGGCAGCTAGGATCAACGGGTCTTGAGTGACAAAAAAGCGGTTTTTGATGTTTTCACCAGGCCGGGCTTCAACATCCAGTGCAAGGACGGCAACAAGGCGCGCTGGGGCTACTGCAGCTAGGCTGTTCCGTAGTATACCTTCTTTTCTTTTACTTTGTGGGTTCTGGGGGCTCCCTATATTAGGTCAGCAGCCCCAAAACAGTGTGCTTTTTTCCCTTGGGTCACTGAAAAGCTGAGGCAACAACTGCGCGAGCCAGGGCTGCCAGATAAGCGACAGCAACGACGCGGACTCCGCCATCGGGATTGGGCTCGCCGGGCAATCCACGGATACAGAGCTCGGGGGTGGCTGGACAGCGTGGCTTGGCAGGTCGATGCATGTTGACGCACACACACATGTATCGTGACATGTTGGCATGGATGCAGGGGTTGTTCGAGCTTAGGATCAAATTTTCCCCCATCTACTAAGAATCCAAAAGGAGCCATACTTTGGAACCCAAGTCGAAACCTTAAATCCTTTAAATCCGCCCTAGACTCAAAGCCCCATATCAGTGTGCAGACTCGAGCCTGCTGTCAGGTACTTTGCATCCGGGAAAGGAACGTGCTCCGCTAACAGCAAGACATTCAAAGCCGTGCCTCGACTGATGTGAGGGTTCAGGTTTCAGGGTTCAGGGTTCAGGGTTTAGGGGTTCAAGGTCTCCTGTCATAGTTACAGGCAAGCGTCGCAAGGTCTTGCCTCGACTTCAGAAGATGTTGTTTGGCGGGGCAGACGTGGTGATACTGAGATCTCCACATACCCGGACCGCAGGAAGACCTGCGCATCCCTGGGCCCTTTTTGGGGTCCAAAAATGCCCACGGAGTGGGGGGCCAGTTTGGCTTGTCTCTGTCTGTTTCCAATCACTGCCCATCGCAACCCCCCTGAACGCTGCCGTGAGCCCTGCAACCCTAACCCCCTACAACCCTACACCTAAACCCTGACTACAACCCTAAAATCCCTACAACCCTACACTCAAACCCTCAACGCTAATCCTACAACGTGCAACCCTAAACCCCAACCCCAAACCCCAAACCCCAAAAAACCCTAAACCCCCAAAAACCCTAAACCCCAAACCCTAAACCCCAAACCCCAAACCCTAAACCCTAAAACCCTAAACCCTAAACCCCAAACCCTAAGCCCCAAACCCCAAACCCTAAGCCCTAAACCCTTCTGTCCCCGGCTCAGGTGTGGCTTTGGGTAGCCAGCCTCGAGGGCTCGTCGCGGCCCTACACGCGCAACGTGCGGGACTGGACGGCGGTCATGAAGATTGCTCAGGTCACTTAGGGTTTAGGGTTTAGGGGTTTAGGGTTTAGGGTTTCGGGGGTTTAGGGTTTCGGGTTTCGGGGGGTTTAGGGTTTCGGGGGGTGTAGGGTTCTAGCTCAGGGGGCACCCCAAGCCGCAAACCCCCAAACCCCCGCGCGTTTGGGGGTTTAGAGGGTTCTAGAGGGTGTCGGGCAGGGTTTAGGGTTCAGGGTCCTAGGGTGGCTTGACGGACCTCAGGTGTGGCCGAGGCTCTAGGGTTTAGGGTTTCGGGTTTAGGGTTTAGGGTTTAGGGTTTAGGGTTGCGGTTTTCAGGGTTGTGGGGCTGACCGGTAGGTTCGCCCTGGCCGGTCATTCACAAATGGCAGCAAGTGATGATATGGCGCTCAAGCCCCAAAACCTAAACCCTAAACCCTAACCCTAAACCCTAAACCCTAAACCCTAAACCCTAAACCCTAAACCCTAAACCCTAAACCCTAAACCCTAAACCCTTAACCCTTAACCCTTAACCCTTAACCCTAAACCCTAAACCCCAAACCCCAAACCCTAAACCGCATGTTAAGTGTAATGTTAGTGTCGAGTGCGATGTGCGGCGCTTGGTACGTGTGGGGTGACGTGGTGGCCCTGCTGGGCACAGCTAGACCTCCCCTCAAAGTCTAACACCTGAACCCCAAACCCTAAACCCTAAACCCTAAACCCTAAACCCTAAACCCTAACCCTAAACCCTAAACCCCAAACCCAGCAAGCCCCTTCATTTCCTTGCAGTAGTGTGGCCAGTTCCGCAAGCTGCGGTCTGCTTTTGGGGACCCTGCCTACAAGTGCTTGTCCTCGTAGCAGACTTACTGACCCTAAACCCTATATCCCGAAACCCAGCAGCTTGGAGGACCTAGCAAGTGGTTTTGGACCCGAAGCCCTGGCCTAAACCCTAAACCCTAAACCCTAAACCCTAAACCCTAAACCCTAAACCCTAAACCCTAAACCCTAAACCCTAAACCCTAAACCCTAAACCCTAAACCCTAAACCCTAAACCCTAAACCCCTAAACCCTCAACCCTCAAGCCGAAAACCCCACGTCAGACGAAAACCTTCGGCTTCAGTTCCAGCTACTGGGGGCGCCTTGGCACAGCATTGTTTAAGCCCTGGACCCTAAACCTTGGGTCTCGTGTTGAGGCAACCCGGACCCGGAAACCCTTAACCCCCACAGGCACCAGCATCCCTGCTGGTCTCCTGAGCATGCAAGACGCGCTTGCCTACTCGGCATCCCCACGGAGCTTAAACCCCGAAGCACAGCCCCCTGAAATCCTGAACCCTAAGCCCTAAGCCCTAAACCCTAAGCCCTAAACCCGAAAAACCCTAACACCCTAAGCTCTCCATCGCAAACGCTAAACCCTAAACCCTAAACCCTAAACCCTAAACCCTAAACCCTAAACCCTAAACCCTAAACCCTAAACCCTAAACCCTAAACCCTAAACCCTAAACCCTAAACCCTAAACCCTAAACCCTAAACCCTAAACCCTAAACCCTAAGACCTCAATCCCGGCCCCCTCTAGAGGAACAACAAGTTGCTGAACTCCGACTCAGCCCTGGCTGTAGAAGAGGAGACGGTTTTGGGTTTAGGATTTGGTGTTTAGGGGTGGGTTTAAGGTAGGGTTTAGGGTTTAGGGTTTCGGGTTTCGGGTTTAGGGTTTAGGGTTTGCCAGGGCGCATCTCGGAAGTATGCCAACCAAATGCAGCAAGACATTCGGCCTGGCATTCAAAGCCCATGTGGAACATGCGGTCAGTTTCATGAAAGACCTGTGCTTCGAGCTTAAAGACTGTGGCACATTGGGCGTGTGCGCGCGTGTGTATGTGTGTGTTAGGGTTTAGGGTTGAGGGATTAGGGTTCAGGGTTCAGGGTTCAGGGTTTAGGGTTTAGGGTTTAGGGTTTAGAGTTTTGCGTTCAGAGTTGGAGAGTGGGTTTAGGGTTTAGGGCTCAGGGTGTAGGGTTTGTAGGGTCCGCGAACACTCTCAAACCTTACGTGGGGATTGGTGAAGCCTTAGACCCTGACCGTATGCAGTTTTGGGTAGACCCACGGAACAGCCTCAATCCGAAAACCTAAGCCCGAAACCAGCCCGAGGCCCTGGATGCTCAAAAACACCTGAGAACGTTTAGGGGTTAGGGTTCAGGGTTCAGGGTTTGGGGTTCAGGGTGCATTAGGCGCCTTGACCCCAAGCCACCTGATAAACCCGAAGCCCTAATCCCTATAGCACTCATGGGCTCCATGGGTAAGAGGACGCAAAGTACCAAGCCTTTCTTGACAAGCCCCTCGATGCCATCCGCATGTGCGTCGGCAAGCCCGAAGAGAACTGCGTGATCCACACGTTCCAGGCGGGGCGGCTGTGAAGGAACTTCGCCTCCTGCTGGGTTTCTCGTAGGGAATGAGGGAATGGGGGGTACCTTATATGAGCAGATTAATGAGGGGAGTATAGAGGGTACCTAGCCTCATTCCCTCCTAATGAAGAACCAGTAAGTTACATGAAGTTGCCAGAAGAAGATAGAAGAAGCGCACTCTATGTATGTACTACATAAATCGGTCTATGGAAAGTTCCTTAAGACTTCTTTATCAAGAGCCCGGAAGGACCAGTACGACAGCGCAAAAGCCTTGTTCACAGCCGGCTACATCCGCGACACGACCGTGGACCAGAAGGGCATCCTCTCTGCGTCTTACTTCGCCTTTAGTTGAACTTTACACTTTTTGGGTTTCCTTATTTAGTAGGAACATGAAAGTTAACCCTCTTTCTCCCCTTGGTTTTTGGAGAAGCAAGGCGTTCGGCCCGAGTCCCGGATCCTATCAAAACTGCGGCATGCAGAGACCGGGCTTCAACATCGAGTGCAAGGACGGCAACAAGGCGCGCTGGGGCTACTGCAACTAGGCTGCTCAGTAGTATATGCATGATTATGGCTACTCTTCTGATTATTACTCTTATGACTATTACTCTTGCTCTTACTCTTGCTCTTGCTCTTACTCTTGCTCTTGCTCTTGCTCTTACCATCACTATTGTTATTATTATTATTATTCTTATTGTTTTTGTTCTTGTTATTGTTATTGTTATTGGTATGATGATGATGATGATGATGATGATGATGATGATGATGATGATGATGATGATGATGATGATTGTCATTGTTTCGAGTATGATGATATTCATTATTATTGTTACTGTTGTTTTTATTTCTATCATCATTATGACTATTTATATTGTTTTTACTATGATTATTTGTTTATTATGATGATTATGATTATTATGATGATGAGGTTATTATTTGATTATCCTTATTAGTACTACTATTATCATTATGACTATTTATATTGTTTTTACTATATGATTGCTGGACAGCTGAGGCAACAACTGCGCGAGCCAGGGCTGCCAGGAAAGCGACAGCAACGACGCGGACTCCGCCATCGGGATTGGGCTTGCCGGGCAATCCACGGATACAGAGGTCGGGGGTGGCTGGACAGCGTGGCTTGGCAGGTCGATGCATGTTGACGCACACACACACACACACACACACACACACACGCACGCACGCACGCACGCACGCACGCACGCACGCACGCACGCACGCACGCACGCACGCACGCACGGCACGCACGGCACGCACGGCACGCACGGCACGCACGGCACGCACGGCACGGCACGGCACGCGCGGCACGCACGGCACGGCACGGCACGGCACGGCACCGCACGGCACCGCACGGCACGGCACGGCACGCTCGCATGCGTGCGCGCATGCACGCACGCACGCACGCCGGCACGCACGCACGCACCTTCGCACACATCGTCACATGTTGGCAACTGGCGCCTGCTGTCAGGTACTTTGCATCCGGGAAAGGAACGTGCTCGGCCAACAGCAAGACCTTCAAGTCCGTGTGGCTCTGGGTTGCTGGGGTGTTGAAGTACGTCTAGAGGAGATCAGGTTGTTATTCCCTTGTACCAGCCCATGAACCTTCAAGCCCCCAACCTTACAAGCCCTAGAAGCCCCCTAAACCCTAGACCCCCCCGAAACCCCAGAAAAACCCTTTCAAAAGAGTTCGGAAAGCCAAGGTTAGCTCTGTTCAACAGCGAGCAAAGCCCTAAACCCTAAACCCTAAATCCTAAACCCTAAACCCTAAACCCTAAACCCTAATCACAAGGTTAGCTCTGGTTCAACAGCGAGCCAAGCACAAGACCTGGCCCTGTCCGCCGACTTCTCCAAAGTCGCGGCCGACGAGGCGAAGTTCCTCAGCGAGTGCAGCGCCGCCCTCGCGCCCGCCGAGTGCGTGAAGGTCCCTCTGGGTCGTCCTCTCTATTTTCGGCCCCCTAAACCCTAAACCCTAAACCCTTGAAACCCCCTAAACCCTAAAAACCCTAAAAACCCTATAAACCCTATAAACCCTATAAACCCTTTAAACTCTATAAACACTATAAACCCTATAAACCCTATAAACCCTATAAACACTATAAACCCTATAAACCCTACAAACCCTATAAACCCTATAAACCCTATAAACCCTGTAAGCCCCAAACCCTAAACCCTAAACCCCTGAACCCTAACCCCTGCAATCCCAAGCCTCTAAACCCTGTAAGCCCTAAACCCTATAAAGCCTCAACCCTGAACCATCCTAAAACCCCTGAACCCTAAACCCTAAACCATCCTAAGAGCTCGGTGGAAGGTGGTTCCCCGCTCCCTGCGCACCGTGGTCACGGTGACGGCCCCAACCCTCCCGAAGCTCGAGAGGGCCTCCAGCCAGGCCTTCGCCAGGGTTTAGGGTTTAGGGTTTGGGGTTTGGGGTTTAGGACTTGGGGTTTAGGGTTTGGGGTTTAGGGTTTAGGGTTTAGGGCGAAACCGAAATCCTTAAGCCCTACAACCCATTGACCCTTCAAAGCCCTTGACCCTTTAAAACCTTAGACCCTTCAACCCTTCAAACCTTTGAAACTATGGGCATATCACATATAAAATATAATATAATATAAGATAATATAGTATAGCATAGTATAGTATAATATAATATGAAATGACATAATATAATATATACATACATACATACATACTCTTTTTGCTCTGAGCCCTAAACCCTTTTACGGCAACCCTGGGACCCTTCAACCCTGAAAGCAACCCTAGACCCTCCATCCTTCAGCCCTGCCTCGATATGTAAAGGTGTATATACATCTATATACAGACACATGAAATAAAAATACAAAGATCTGTATGTACATATATATGTATATATACATATACATTTTGTGGTTTGAGCCCTAAACCCTTTAACCCTTTAACCCTCAAGCTCTGACCTTGCCTCCAAAGGTGTTCAACGCAGGCCTGGACCTGAAGACGATCGGTAAGTTGAGGCCCTTGCTGACCGAGTGCGAGGCGAGGTAGCGGTCAACCCTAAGCCCTAAGGCCTAAACCTGAACCCTCAGCCCTAAGCCCTAAACCCTAAACCCTAAACCCTAAACCCCAAACCCTAAACCCTGAACCTTCCCTATACTCCCCTAAACCCTGAACCCTGAACCATTTAGGGTGTATCTCCTAACTTCTTGCGAAGGGCCGAGCATTGAGGGTTTAGGCTTCAGGCCTGTATGGTCCTAAAGCCTAAACTTGGACCCCCTAAATTTCTGAGCGTTAGGTGACTTGTCCTCCGCCCTTTCGGATTGGGGTTTAGGGTTAGGGTTTAGGGTTTAGGGTTTAGGGTTTAGGGTGTAGGGTTTAGGGTTTAGGGTTTAGGGTTTAGGGTTTAGTTAGGGTTAGGGTTTAGGGGTTTAGGGCCGCGTTGTAGGCTCGGAAGAATAGCGCTCCAGACCCCAAAGCCACATCCAAGGCCTCTGCACCCTCAACCCCGAGCCGCCCGCAAACCCTAAACCCTAAACCCCAATAACATGGCAGGGTTTAGGGTTTAGGGTTTAGGGTTTAGGGTTTAGGGTTTAGGGTTTAGGGTTTAGGTTTTAGGTTTTAGGGTTTAGGGGTTTAGGGTTGAGGGTTTAGGGCCCTACCCTACCACGCCTTCCCTGCTCTACTACCCTAGTCGACTCTCCAGCTGGCTAATTTTCCAAACACCTTAGAAAAACGGAGCCTAAAGACCCGTCAAGGATCTGACAAAGACCTTCGAACATCCTGTTTAAAAGGAGCCATAAACACCCCTTTATGCCTCAAAGCCTTCGAGCAGCCTTTGAAGGAATCTAAACCCCAAACCCTTGACCCTCAACAAGCCCTAGGCCCTAAACCATAAACACTAAAAGACCTGCAGGGCACCTTGGCAACGGGTGACAACGCGAGGCACTGGAGACTTGGCAAATCCGCAGGGAAGCCGCCATAGGTTTCAGGGGTTTGCGGTTTAGTTTTCGGGGGAAGTCTCTCTTTTTTGCGTTTAGGGCTTAGGGTTTAGTTCAGGGTGGTTCTAGAGGGTGGAGGATGCATGCACCCGGATGTTATGGGTTGGTGATTGCAGGGCTCCCCTCCCCTAAGTCCAAGAAATATTCAACATACCCCTTGGACATACCCTTAAAAGAAGTTAGAGGGGGTCCCTTAGACTCCCTAACATTCTCATTTTTGTAGGTTTAGGGGTATGGGTGTGGGGTATGGTGAATTGTTCTTAGATTAACAAGACGCCAGCAAGGGCCTGCGATGGCCAGCCGCTGGAGAAGTGCGATGCCACCTACACGAAGACCCCCAACGGACAGTACTACCAGTGTGGAGCACCGTGGCCTTGTACCCCAAGCCCTAAGCCCCAAGCCCCAAGCCCTAAACCCTAAACCCTAAACCCTAAACCCTAAACCCTAAACCCTAAGCCCTAAACCCTAAACCCTAAACCGGTGTAGCCATTTTGGCTCAAGTTGCGCATGCCTTGAGTTTAAAGCCCATTGGTCACCTTCCAACCCACGTTAAGGTACAGAATGGCTACCACACATATCGAACAATGTGTGCTCGCTCAACTCTTTGGCCACACCACTGAAGTTGGGCTTGACATCATCCGTTACCAATTCATGCCGCGTAAAGGCATTCGGGGCTTTATGCGGAAGCACGCATTGCTGGAAGAGCCAAGATCTCTCAAGTCTTTTGACGAGGAGGCGATTATGAGCTGTCCAGCCCTCGCATCGATTGCGACGACAACTGGGAATTGCCTCCACTGCATCCAGGACGCCGGAGTTGGCAAGTTCGAGCCATCCGGCAGCCTTGACATGTATGTGGTAGCCACATCCAACTGCGAGCTGCATGAATTCCGAGGGGATTGTGCTTGCGAGGTGGACCCAGAAGCCAGGACAATTCGAGAGGAAGTGCATTGGTTCAACGGAACACACCACGGAGAGGGAGAGGTTGCCCTTCGCTTTTGTCGCACTGGATGGTGCACTTTTAGCGGCGTGCCAGCAACAACTCATCCGGCAGTGTACGAAGCCAGATCGTGGCGCACTTGGTGACTGCTACGCTTTTGGTGTGCGCAGCCTTGAGGGGTTGAGGGAATCACACGAACGTGTGATGACGCTAAGGTTGCACGTGATAGTCGCGGCAAGGATGCTCTGGCAGTGCGTCTTGCAGGCGTCGATGCGCCCAGGGAGCTCCGGAGGGAGCTTCGTGTGAAACCAAATGAGGCCCTGAGCAAGGAGAAGCCCAGGGCCATCATAACATCCAAGGACGCTGGCGTCGTGCGGCACATACTCGACAGTGGGCTGCTAGAGCACGTGCTCTTTAACAACCCATTGTTTGAGCAGAGGTCGCTGAAACACGCTTCAAGGCGTGATTTTGGAAGGCGCATGGGTGAGCTCATGCGCAATTACGAGTACGCCGCGTCCATGGATTTTGGTGCATTCGATGGCAGCTGCACCAAGGAGGTCCGTGACCTTATAGAGAATGACATAATTGTGTCAATGTTCTCTAAGCTCCTGGACGTCGAGAGCAAGGATGGCCTGCTACACGCCGCGATATATGACCGGATCAAGGACAAGTGCCACATGAACGTGAAGAACATTATCAAAGCAGTGGTGTTTGACATGATCAGGGAGAGCGGTGACCGAAGCACGTCAGTGTTGAACTTCCTGACAAACCTCACGCTGTGTGTTGCCACTGTCTCCATGATGTTGGAGCGGAGAGGTACAAGGCCAAGGAGATATGCAAGGTACTTTCGGATCTCCTTACAAAAGGCAACCTCGCTACCTCATGGGGGAAGGAGATGACGGACTGCAAGTCTTCAAGCAGGCATTGATTGACCTGTTTGGGGGCGAGTACGACTTTGGCACAAAGTGGTGTGGAGGATATGCTGAGTGTGGGTTCAAGATTGAACCACAAGGGCCCGATGGAGAACTCGACCATTCTCAGTGTCTAGTCAGCACGAACGAGAGGCTTGAGTTCTGTTCAAAGATTGCCGTCAGTGTGGGGGAGGAGACTTATTCTTTTCCAAAACCCGCGAAAATGAGCAACTCGCTCACCGTGTCTTTTGACATAGGCGCCGACAGACACACAGCAGGCGCAACAAAAGCAATCGCGATGATGGCAAACTGTGTACACCAGCCTCTGATGTATGCGGTGTGCAAAGCGGTTGAGGGGCACAAGAGAGAGGGGGGCAGATTCAACCGGGAGTTGGCGAAAAACATTTTCCAGGAGCTCCTCTACGAGGGCGGGGAAGGCTTTGAGGAGGCAATCAAGAGGGAACACGAGATCTTCATGGCGGACGGGAAGGACGCACGGGCGATGATGTGTGCCTTCGAGAGAGAGACCGGAATATCGGTCGGGGAGCAGGAGGAAGCCATTCTGCCCTTGGCCAGTGGGAACCTGGATACGGTGACCATGGTACTCAGGGCACTCAGAGCATGAGCTGAGATGGCGCAGACCTGGGTAAGTCTATAAACTGCTTAACGCTGAGAGAGAACCCGAGCGCACGAGAGCGCCGCCGGCCAGAAGCCAACTGGCCTCACCTGGCGAACGAGGAGAGTTAAAAGCCGAACCTGACTCCGAGCACTTCTGACGAGTCCACTTGCTAGGGCAGCATCCTGGACGAAAGACGCCTAACGTGATGAGGGTGACATCTCCTTGCGAGGGGAACGTTGGGTTCGGGCAACGTCCCGAAAGGGATTCATGCGAAGGTGAACAGGGCACAAGGTATCCGAAGTTAGATGCAACGGGCACAATACGACATGGGTGCCGCCCGTAACATCACGCACCACTACATCGTGTGCTCGATGTATTAGGTGTAGTTGTCCCGAAAAGGCTACGGGGTACGACTCGTATTCACGAGGGCGCGGTGCGTCCTCCCCAGCGGTAACCATACGGTATCTGTCGTGCGTCCGACGTGGTTAGTTATCCGGTACGAACGGTGCTAGGTGCCGAAAAGCATCCTGAGAATCAGATGGCAACTGAATCAAGGGACTGGGACTTGTACATCAATTGGCTTGGCACTACACGGCTCTCTTGCTCAGAGGACAAGAAGCATGGAGAACGGAAGACGCATGTGCGGCGTGCGAAGTGCCCGCAGCCAACCTTGCCAGCGCACATACTTTAGGATACTTGCTTTGGTGCATCCGTGAAACGCACGCAGATGGACCGACATCCAGCTGGTTTCCCCCCTCCCAAATCTGAGTGGTCGATGTTCCGTAAGCTGTGTTGAACACCAACATTGGCAAGTTGATTGGCGGCCTCAGGGCCCGATCAAGCTGGCAGGCACATAGTGCGCACCCACAGAGGTGCCGATGTTCACGGGCATTGCTGCAACTGGCTCGCTAGGCGAATCTGACTTTCGCTGCGTACGCAACAACAAACCCTAAACCCGTGACAGGATCTTCAACTTTGGGGGCCTACTCAGGTCCTCTGGAACACCCCTGAAGGCCAGAAACCCCACATCAAGCCCAAGGCCACACGCCCGAGCTGCTGAGCTGAGTACCCTAAACCCTAAACCTTAAACCCGGAACCCAAACCACGAAACCCTAAGTCCCAAACCCTACGCCCTAAACCCCGAACCCTAAACCCCAAACCCTGCACCCTAACCTTGACACCTACAACTCCCGAACCCCAATACAGGTGCCAAACTCATTGCCAATATCACGCCCTCAACATTCCTTCTTGTGCTTTAGCATAAACCACGTATTTGAATTGCCCTAACAAGCACCCTTACCTTCCTAAACCCTAAACCCTAAACCCTAGACCCTAGACCCTAAACCCTAAAGCCCCTGAATCCCAAACCTTTTCCTCCAACCGAGACGCAATGCTGAGGTCAGCGGCGAGAATTGCCTCGGTACTGGCCCCAAATGCCTTGACCCAGGACGATGAGGCATCCCAGTCTTCTCAGGCGTGGAAAAGAGTGTGGGTTTAGGGCTCAGGGCTTAGGGCTTAGGGTTCAGGGCTCAGGGTTTAGGGTTTAGGGTTGAGGGTTTGCCAACGATAGACAGCAGGCGCTGTCCCCAAGCCTTGAAGCAAGAAGGGAGGGCCCCTACTGCACCCTCAGCCCTAACACTAAACCCTAAACCCTAAACCCCAAACACCAAACCCTAAACCCTAAAACCCAAACCCTAAACCCGAAACCCTAACCAAAACCCCCGAAAGGCCCTATAAAGGCTATAAACCCTATAAACCCTACGAACCCTATAAACCTTACAAGCCCAAGAAACCCTAGAAAATCTGAAACACCAAAGACCCTAAACCCTACAACCCTACAACCCCCCACCCCACCATACCCCCGCTCTAATTGCACACGCTGAAAGAACATCACCCCAGGCCGCAAGTCTTAAGCCCCCAAAATTTCCCGAACTTCCAGTCCCCAAACCCTAAACCCTGAACCCAAAACCCTAACCAAACCCTAAACCCCAAACGCTGAACCCAAAACTCTAAACCCGAAACCCCAAAACGAACCCAACAAAAAACTCTTGAACCCCCCAAACCCAAAAACCCTAAGCCCCAAAAGCCCTAAGCCCCAAACCCCTTAGACCCTTAGCCAAAACATCTAAACATCTAAACCCTAAACCCTAAACCCTAAACCCTAAGCCCTAAGCCCTAAACCCTAAACCCTAAACCCTAAACCCTTGGACCCCCGGAGTGCGTCGCCGGACCATGGCTCGGCAGCGCCTGGGATCCCTCCACCTCAGCAAAGGGCGATGGAATCCGATGGGCTGGTGCTGCTGGGTGCAGATTAGGGGTTTAGCACTTTAGGGTTTAGGGGTTTAGGGGTTTGGGGTTTAGGGGTTTAGGGTTTTGGGGTTAGGGGTTTAGGGTTTTGGGGTAGGGGTTTAGGGTTTGGGTTTTTAAAGTTTGGGGTTTAGGGCTTTTGGGGTTCAGGGTTTTGTCTTTAGGGTTTGGCGTGTTTTTGGTGTTTAGGGTGTTTGGGGTGTTTAGGTTGTTCAGGGTGTTTAGGGTGTTTAGGGTATCGGAGGTTCAGGGTTGTGGAGGTTGAGGGTTTTTGGGCTTTTTGGTGTGGAGTTGAGGGCGTTAGGGGTGTTAGGTGTTTAGGTGTTTCTTTCGGGGATTTTGGAGTACAATTAGGTTTATGAGGGACGCGGGTCTAGGGTTCCGTGAGTTTTGGGCTACACCCGCCTGCCCCACGCATTGCAAGGAGCACTTGGCAGCGTGCGGTTTGGCTGCTGCGCGACGACGCGTCCGTCTCAGCCGCTCCGCTGAGGGTTGAAGAGTTTTGGGGCATAAAGAGCTCAAAAAACCCCAAAAGCCCCTAGACAAGCCCCGGGTCTCAAACCTTGATCCCAAAAATCTCCAAGGTCCGAAGCCCAAAGGTTTCCCAAAACCAACAGCCCTAAACCCTAAACCCTAAACCCGAATCCCTCGACCCTCAACCCTAAAACTTCAAAATGCACAAACCCTGAGAGGCGGATCACTGGCAGTGCACCTCTGCGATCAACCTTTGCGCCAAGGCCTCGGCCTGGCAGCGGCCAAGCTGCCGTTAACTTAATGAACCACTGGTACTTGAAGGTTCATGGTAATTAGTAACGAATTATAACTGTACTTATAACTGTACTTATAACCATATTAGGGCACTTAAGGGGTTTATACGTACAGTTACAAGTACAGTTATAATTGGTTAATAAGTGCCATGAACCTTCACGTACCCTTGTACCATTTGTTTGGGGGATTTAGGGTTTTGGGCTATCCTTTTGGTTCTGGGTTCCCTGACAGGGTAGCCGACCCGCAAAACGGTACCACCCTTATTGCAGTGTGGTTACTTGGGTACCAAGTTAAGGAGCTGATCGTGCGTTGAGGGTTTAGGGAGCCTCTGCGTTTATGTCCATGGTGTGCGATCTGAATTCCCTAAGCCCTAAACCTAAACCGAGACCCTAAACCCTAAACCCTAAACCCTAGACCCTAGACCCTGGACCCTAAACCCTAAACACTAAGCCCCAGACCCTAAACCCTAAACCCCAGAAGTTCCTTCGCAGCGACCCAGGCGGGCCTTGCTGGTTCTCAGCGATGCGATGCGGCGGGGGCTGCGACTCACTGCTGTGGCGAGCCGCACAGGAACGCTTTCTTGCTGGGAGGTTCATGGTTTAGGGTTTAGGGTTTAGGGTTTGGGGTTTAGGGTTTAGGGTTTGGGGCTTAGGCCCTAAGCCCTGTTTGGGTACTTAAGGGGCGTATATGTGGGTATGATTGCACTTGCTAAGAATGCGTTACTAAGAACCTTGAACCTCCAAGCAGGGTTTTTTGGGGTTTTTAGAATTTTGGAGGACTTGTAGGGTTGACAGGGTTTATGGCGTTTGTAGGGTTTGTAGAGTTTGCAGTCTGTAGGCGTTCAGGGTTTCCAGGTGTTTAGATCTTGTACCCTAAACCCAAACCCCAGAACCCTAAACCCTAAACCCCAAACCCTAAACCCCAAACCCCAAACCCAACCCTAAACTCTAAACCCCCAAAACCCTAAACCCTGAAAGCCCCCCCAAAGCCCTCCATTGCAAGGTGGCCGAAACCCTAAACCCCAAACCCTAAACCCCAAACCCTAAACCCCAAACCCTAAACCCCCCAAAGCACCCCCCTAAACCCTAAACCCTAAACCCTAAACCCTAAACCCTGAACCCTGAACCCTAAACCCTAAACCCTAAACCCTAAACCCTAAACCCTAAACCCTAAACCCTAAACCCTAAACCCTAAACCCTAAACCCTAAACCCTAAACCCAAGGTGGCCTACAATGCCGCCATCGACGCGTGCGGGCGGGCGAAGCGGTGGCAAGCCGCCGTGGCGCTGTTCGAAGCCCTGCGGTGCAGCCCGGTGCAGGCTGGAGAGCCTAAATCGGTTTAGGGTTTAGGGATTAGGGTTTAGGGTTTAGGGTTTAGGGTTTAGGGTGTAGGGTGTAGGGTGTAGGGTTTAGGGTAGCCAAAGGTGTGAAGGAGTTAAGCAAGGGGGAAGCCCCAAAGAAAGCAACCCCCCCCCCCCCCCCCCCCCTGACATGGGGATGGGCGCAGGAGGCTTGGACTAGGGTCCTAAGCCCAAAAACCTAAACCCTAAACCCTAAACCCGAAACCTCCAAAACCCTGAGGCCCTCAAACCACAAGAAAAAACCCAGCCCCCCTCCACAGGAGAGTGTGGTGTCCTGCGGCGCGGCAGTCAGCGCCTGCGGAAGGTCCGGCGCCTGGCAGATGGCCCTACACCTTCTGGAGGAGATCTAAACCCCAGGTTGAGTAAGGTGGCTTAGGGTTTAGGGTTTAGGGTTCGGGTTTAGGGTTTAAGGTTTAGGGTTTAGGGTTTCGGGTTTAGTCTGGAGGAGCTGCGCCTCCCCCCCCAAAGCTCTAAAGCCTGAATAAGGGGGCTTAGGGTTTAGGGTTTTGGGGTTTAGGGTTTTGGGGTTTAGGGTTTAGGGTTTGGGGTTTAAGGTTTTGGGTTTAGAAGCCCAAAAATCCGAACCCCTAAGTGAGGATGCCGAGGCGGGGCCACCAGAAGCAGCCCCCAACGCACCTGGGCCGGGTCTGGGAATTCGGCCATTTTGGGGTCTGTTTGGGTTTTTTGAGGGTTTATGGGGTTTAGGGTTTAGGGTTAGGGTGTTAAGGTTTAGGTTTGTATAGGGTCTAGGGTTGAGGGTTTAGGGTTTAGGGTTCGGCCATTACGGGGTCTTTTGTGGTTTTTAAGGTTTAGGGTTTAGGGTCTTGTAAGGCTTTTAAGGTTTAGTGTCTAGAGGGTTGTTAAGTCTGTTTGGGTTTTTAAGGGTTTATAGGGTTTGGGTTTGGGGTCTTTTAAGGCTTTGAAGGTTTAGGGTCTAGGGAATCGGCCAAAGGGCTTTAAGGTTTAGGGTTAGGGTTTAGGGTTGAGGGTTGATAGGGTTCTGAAAGGGCTTTTAAGGTTTGAGGTTGTTTAGGGGGTTCAGAGGCTTCATAGGGTTTATAGGGTCTAGGGTTAATCGTTTTTGTTTGGGTTTTTTTTTTTTGGTTTTTTAGGGTTTACAGGGTCTAGAGGGTTTATAGGGTTTATAGAGTTTTCGGGGTTTTCGGGGTTTACAGGGTTGAGGGGTTTAGGGATTAGGGTTTTTAGGGTTTCGGGCTTTGTTTTTGCAAGGCTTTCTAAGATTGTCCAGAGTTTCTATGAAGCCTTAGGAGTACTGGTGAGTGTACATTATGATTGGGGTCTTCGCAGGACTATGGGGTTGTAGGGTTCTGGTTCTTAGGGCCTCGACCGCTAGAGGCTTCATAGTTTCAGAGTGTGATTTTGAGGTTTCGCGGGGTTTGTATGCTTGCAGGGCTTGCTATACAGGGTTTGTGGAGTTTGCTGTTGTGCTTTTGCATTTCATTATGCGCCTGTGTCGGGCGTTTTTTTTTTTTTTTTTTTTTTTTTTTTTTTTTTTTTTTTTTTTTTTTTTTTTTTTTTTTTTTTTTTTTTTTTTTTTTTTTTTTTTTTTTTTCCGGGCTCGCATGGGGTTTTTGGGACCTTTAGAGTTTGTAGGCTTCGGTGCTGACATGCAAAAACCTAAACCCTACACCCAAATTACACCTAATTCAACCCAAAATCCAAAACCCAAAACCCAAAACCCAAAACCCAAAACCCAAAACCCAAAACCCAAAACCCAAAACCCAAAACCCAAAACAAACCCAAAACCCAAAACCCAAAACCCTAAACCCTAAACCCTAAACCCTAAGCCCGGAACCATAAACCCTAAACCCTAAGTCCGAAACCCTAAACCCTCAAACCCTAAACCCTAAACCCTAGGCCCTCAAACCATGAGATACATGTGTCGGCCGGGACGAGGTCATCACCTACAATGCAGCTGCCAGCGCCCTGGAGAAGGAGGGCCGAGGGGCCAGACAGCCCTAAACCCTAAACCCCAAGCCCGAAACCCTAAACCCTAAACCCTAAACCCTAAACCCTAAACCCTAAACCCTAAACCCTAAACCCTAAACCCTAAACCCTAAACCCTAACCTAAACCCTAAACCCTAAACCCTAAACCCTAAACCCTAAACCCTAAACCCTAAACCCTAAACCCTAAACCCTAAACCCTAAACCCTAAACCCTAAACCCTAAACCCTAAACCCTAAACCCTAAACCCTAAACCCTAACCATAAACCCTAAACCCTAAACCCTAAACCCTAAACCCTAAACCCTAAACCCTAAACCCTAAACCCTAAACCCTAAACCCTAAACCCTAAACCCTAAACCCCAAAGGGCCTTCAAGCCTTGAGTCGCCACTTTAGTAACCTGAAGTAGCTTAAGCACCCGAAAACCTCCAGAGCCCAAGAGCCACCATGGGGGTTTAGGGTTTAGGGTTTAGGGTTTGGGGTTTAGGGTTTAGGGTTTAGGGTTTGGGGTTTGGGGTTTAGGGTAAACCTACAACGTAAGCCGGGAAGGAGGGGGGGGAGGAGGTGCCTGGTCTCGGGCGTTCCCGGACTCCGAGAAAATGAGTTTTAGGACTTTAATTTGGGGGGTGCATCAGGGCTGTCCTTTTCTATCTAGGAAGTGCCAATAGATTCTCTAGGGTTTAGGGTTTAGGGTTTGGGGTAAACCTAAACCCTAAACCCGAAACCCTCAACCCTAAACCCTAAACCCATCTCAGGGGTGTGACTTCCTTTCCATTCCTCCAGGAGGGGGCGTGGGAGCCCGCCGTGCTCCTGCTCCAGCGAATGGCCAAGAGGGGCCTCCGGTGCGACGAGATCACCCTCAACTCCGCCACTGGGGTTTAGGGGTTTAGGGGTTTAGGGTTTTAGGGGTGTAGGGGTTTAGGGGTTTAGGGGAGGGGTTTAGGGGTTTAGGGGTTTAGGGTTTAGGGTTTAGGGTGTACTTACTGGTTCGGGTTTAGGGTTTAGGGCTTAGGGTTTAGGGTCTACCCGCCTCGTAGGGAGTCTCGGGAAAGCGGGTTCCTTGTTACCTGAAAGGCCTTTTTGGGGGTTTAGGAGAGGGTTTCCGCTCTAAGTCTCGGGGGGGGGGGGTGAGAGCTTAGGTCATGGGCGCCTGCGCCAAAGGGGGCCAATGGCAACTCTCCCTTCTCCTGCTGGCGGACCTTGGCCCTAAACCCTAAACCCTAAACCCTAAACCCTAAGCCCTAAACCCTAAACCCTAAAGCCTAAACCCTAAACCCGAAGGACCTTGCCCACCAGCACCTCTGCCCCAACGCGTTCCACTACGCCACGGCCGTCCACGCGTGCGCGACCGCCGCGGCCTGGGAATCGGCCCTGGATCTCTTCGAGGCTGCGCTGTACCCGAGCACCCCTTAAAGCAACAGACTTTGAGCAACACCCTAAACCCCGCACCGCAAGCTTGCCAGGATTTTCATTCCGAAGCCCTGAACCCAGAAACCCTCTTTGGACTGCTAAACCCTAAACCTTGAAACCCTAAACCCTAAACCCTAAACCCTAAACCCTAAACCCTAAACCCTAAACCCCTCAACCCCTAAACCCCGAAACCCCGAAACCCCGAAACCCCCAAACCCCAAACCCCTAACCCCTAAACCCCGAAGCCCCCAAACCCCAAACCCCAAACCGCAAACCCTAAATCCTAAACCCCAAACCCTGAGGCCCTGGTGGCATCGCAGCTGCCGGTCACGCACGGCGCGTACAGCTCAACCATCACGGCCTGTGGGCGGGCCGAGAGGTGGGACTTCGCACTTTTCCTGCTCCTTGGATATAACACCCAGGTTCCAGTCTTGATTAGGGTTTAGGGTTTTAGGGTTTAGGGTTTGGGGTTTAAGGTTTAGGGAACTGTGGTTGCTCCTTGGCATCAAGCCGGTAAACCCTAAATCCCCGTGAGGCCCCAAAGCCCCGCGTGGAGACCGGAATAAGGGGAAGGGCAACAAGTTTGGCACTTTGCTCCAAAACCTAGGTTCAAGTCTTGATTTGGGTTTAGGGTTGAGTGTTTAGGGTTGTAGGATTTCGATCCCAACCCTATAAACCCCACGAACCCCCTACGCCTTGTCTGACCTAAAAACTGGTAAACCCCAAAAACCATGTTAACCCTAAGAACCCTACTTCCCCCAACAAAATAGGGATACCCCGTATATTCCGCAAGATACTCGTCTACTCTGCCATGGGTACCCCGTTTTGAGGAAACCACCTAAAGCGCTGAACAGAATCCGGAAAACCCTGAACCCGAAACCCCTAAAACCCCTAAAACCCTAAAACCCTAAAACCCTAAAACCCTAAAACCCTAAAACCCTAAAACCCTAAACCCCTAGAACCCTAGAACCCTAGAACCCTAGAACCCTCAAACCCTAAAACTCTAAAACCCTAAAAACCCTAGAACCCTAAAACCCTAAAACCCTAAAACCCTACAACCCTAAAACCCTAAAACCCTAAAACCCTAAAACCCTAAAACCCTAAAACCCTAAAACCCTAAAAACCCTAAAACCCCTAAAACCTTAAAATCCTAAACCCTAAGCCCCTAAACCCTAAACCCTAAACCCCAAAAGCCCCAAACCCCTGAGCTTCACTTCCCGGGTTCACGATTTTTTGGGGCCTCCAAAGGTTCCGTGGAGCCCAGCGCCTCGCGGAGGCCGGGGTTTAGGGTTTAGGGTTTGGGGTTTAGGGGTTTAGGGTTTAGGGTTTAGGGTTTAGGGTTTAGGGTTTAGGGTTTAGGGTTTGGGGATTGGGGTTTAGGGTTTCGGGTTTAGGGCCACCGGCATTAGGTTCGGGTTTTGTTATGTGGGAGGGGGGGGGGGTTTGGGACCCTGGGGAGGGATTCTTCTGAGGAATCCCTGGGTGGTTTAGGGTGTAGGGTTTGGGGTGTAGGGTTTAGGGTTTAGGGTTTAGGGTTTAGGGTTTAGGGTTGAGGACTTCGGGTTTAGGGTTTAGGGGTCTTGTGGGGTATCTGTTAGGGTTTAGGGTTTAGGGGTGCTTGGGGTATCTGGGTTGAGGCGTTTACTTAGTAGCTGAATGAGTACACTCTCCACTTTGTGGGATATTACAATCCCCTCTAGAACTGAAAGTGTGGAGCTGAACTCAGTTTAAAGGGTGGTGATGCCGTGGGGTTCGGGGCTTCGGGTTGAGGCCAGTGTTCTCAAGAAATCAAGCCTTGGCTCTCCCATCTTTGACATCCGAAGCCCCAAAAATTTCCCCACCCAGCCCCCAAGCTTCCCTAAACCCTAAACCTAGAAACCCTAAACCAAAAACCCTAAACTCGAAACCCGAAACCCTAAACCCTAAACCCTCCCCATAGGCCCCGCTGGCCGTAGACCCTCCCCCTAACACCCTTTGCACACCCCAGGCCTCCCTGGTCACCTCCAACGCCGCCATCGGGGCGTTGAGCCGAGGTGGCCCCAATGGCGGAGTTGTTGTAGGAATTTTCTGGAGGTTGGGGATTTGGGGTGGGGATTTAGGGTTTAGGGTTTAGGGGTTGAGGCTGAGGTTTTTGTGCAGGGATTTTCTGGAGGTTGGGGATTTGGGGTTTAGGGTTTGGGTCTTCGGGTTTAGGGCTCACAAGGGCTTCGAGATTCTTGGTGGGCTTTGGAGGGCTTCGGCCCTCCCTCCAACTCGGCACCCCCTGCACAGACTATGTTGGGGTTTAGGGTTTAGGGTCTAGGGTCTAGGGTTTAGGGTTTAGGGGTTTAGGGTTGGTAGGGTTGGAGGTTGATTAATATTTAGGGCGCTGTGGGCCTTGGGACTAAGCTTGTAGGACAAGGGGAGAAGAGGGACGGAGAGCATAATTCCTTCTCGTAGTCCTGTGGCAACCTGTGCCCTTTGGGACGCCTGCCTTTGCAGGCCAGCAGTGGCAGCAGGCGGTGTCGGTGCTGGCTGGGATGGAGGTGGAAGCCCTGGACCCGGACTCCTGGCATCAGAGCTTGCTGCTCTAGGGTGGCGGGGGGTTCTGTTTCGGGCGGGTTTCAAGCGGTGGGCGTATTTTGACCCCCATGTAGATAACAGCATCGCAGAAACCGCCTTATATATGTCTATAAAATAATTACATGGGGATGACTTGGTCTGTATACACAAAAGTATGCCAATATATATATATATATATAGATACAGACTGAGCATTGTTTAGTTTTGTTTCGTATATGTATATGAAACATATTCCACTTGTGATTTCAAAGGGACCCTCACGTAGAATATCTCCGATCCCTAAACCTGGGTTTTTGGGTTCAGTGGCTGTGGCAGAAGTTTACTCTTTGACAGAGAGAGAGAGAGAGAGAGAGAGAGAGAGACAGAGACTGCAGGGTTCTGTGGGCTTGGGGTGCAGGATTTCTTGCCCCTAAAGCCTCAAACGCTGAGAGGATTTCTTGCCCAGAAGCCGAAAGCCCCAAACCTCGAGCCCCTGAAGCCCTAAGCCCTAAGCCCTAAGCCCTAAACCCTAAACCCTAAACCCTAAACCCTAAACCCTAAACCCTAAACCCTAAACCCTAAACCCTAAAACGCCCGGCAAAGCCTGCGAAGCCATCGAGGACATCATCAGCTACAATGCCTGCATCAGCTCTTGTTCCCCGGCGGCGGTTTAAACCCTAAAACCCTAAACCCGAAACCCTAAACCCTAAACCCTAAACCCTAAATCCTAAACCCTAAACCCTAAACCATAAACCCTGAACCCGAAACCCTAAACCCTAAACCCTAAGCCCTCCAATCCCCCACTAAACCCTCAAGCCTCCACCCTCAGCGCTAAACCCTAAATCCTCCAACCCTAAAACCCCCTAAAACCCCTAAAACCCCTAAAACCCTAAAACCCAAAAAACCCTAAAACCCTAAAACCCCTAAAACCCTAAAAACCCCCCAAAAACCCTAAAAAACCCTCCCTAAAACCCCATAAAAGGCGAGAGTGGGCAGCAGTGGCAGCGGGCCCTTGGACTGCTCAGCGCCGCGCGGGGCAAGAAGCTGCGGCCCACCGCCAGCACCTACAGCGCAGGCTCTCGGGGCGCAGGGGCTTTAGGGCCTTTTTTTTTTTTTTTTTTTTTTTTTGCTGCACCTTCCCGTATATATATATATATATATATATATATATATATATAAGACATAAAGTAGATGAATGAATGAATGTACATACAAGAACATACACATCGGTTTCTTCAGGACATAGTTCTTTTTGCTTTTTTGGAGTTGTTTTTTGAGTTTGTTCTTTTTGGAGGCTTGAGGGGGTTAGGCCCTGAGCCCTCCGAACCCCCAAACCTCCTAAACCCCTTAGAGGCCGTCAACCACCCAAAGCCCTAAACTAAACCCCTAAACCCCTAAACCCCTAAACCCCTAAACCCCTAAACCCCTAAACCCCTAAACCCCTAAACCCCTAAACCCCTAAAAACCCCTAAACCCCTAAACCCCTAAACCCCTAAACCCCTAAACCCCAAACCCCAAACCCCAAACCCCAAACCCAAACCCCAAACCCCAAACCCCAAACCCAAACCCCAAACCCCAAACCCCAAACCTCAAACCCCAAACCCCAAACCCCAAACCCCAAACCCCAAACCCCAAACCCCAAACCCCAAACCCCAAACCCCAAACCCCAAACCCCAAACCCTAAACCCTAAACCCTAAACCCTAAACCCCAAAGATCCTGAAACAGGAATCGCGGCCTGCGGGGCCGCTGGGCGCTGGGCCGAGGCTCTTCGACTCCTGCAGGCCCCTGCTGCAGGGTGTGGAGGGGGGTTTAGGGTTTAGGGTTTAGGGTCTAAGGGTTTAGGGTTTAGGGTTTCGGGTTTCGGGTTTAGGGTTTAGGTTTAGGATTTAGGGGTTAGGGTTTAGGGTTTAGGGTTTCGGGTTTAGGGCTTAGGGTTTAGGGGTTGAGGCTTTAGGGTTTAGGGTTTCGGGTTTCGGGTTTAGGGTTTAGGGCTTAGGGTTTAGGGTTTAGGGCTTAGGGCTTAGGGTTTGGGGGTTGAGAGTTTAGGGGTTTTGGGGGTTTAGGGGTTTGGGGTTTAGGGGTTTAGGGGTTTAGGGGTTGTGGGATGGGATGTTCCCCCTCGTACTAACAGTCCTGCATAGGGATGAGAATAGGGGGTACGATAGTCCCGATTATTAAGGACAGTTAGTATGGGGGGGAACGTCCCCAGGTTGAGGGGTTCTGCAGTTGAGGGGTTCGGGGCTTGAAGGGCTTCAGGGCTTAAGGGTTCCCTGTCTAACCCTCAACCCCCAAAGCCCTACAAGCCCTAAACCCTATACCTTAAACCCTAAAAGCCCTAAACCCCAAAAGCCCTAAAACCCCCAACCCACCAAAAGCCCAGAAGCCCGACGCCCTGCCAGGAGTCTCACCTCCAGAGCCTGCCTCCCAGTGCTTTGGCATTGGGTTTAATTTAGGGTTTAAGGGTTTAAGGGTTTAAGGGTTTAAGGGTTTAAGGGTTTAAGGGTTTAAGGGTTTAGGGTTTAGGGTTTAGGGTTTACAATTGGAGGGGGCTTAGGGTTTTGGATTTCTTTGCATAGGGCTTAGGGCTTAGAGCTTAGGCTTAGGGCTTAGGGCTTAGGCCTCTGGGCTTAGGGCTAGGGCCTGGGGCTTAGGGCTTAGGGCTTAGGGCTTAGGGCTTAGGGCTTAGGGCTTTTTTGAGGGCTTGTTTGGACGGGCTTGGGGGCTTTGGTTGTTTTGGGGGGGGGGGGGGGGTTTGGGGGGGGGTGGGCTCTCGCAGTTTCAAGGTGTTCGGGGTTTGTGTCCTTGCCCTTCCCCAAACCCCCCCACAGTCCCCCGAAAGGCCCCAAAAGTCCACCCCAAAGCCCCCCAGCCTCTAAGCCCGAAACCTTGAACCCCTAAACCCCCACATAGGCAAAATCTGCCAACATCTCCAAAAGGGTTTAGGTCTCCCCCCCCCAACACCTGAACCCTAAGCCTAAAAACTCAAGACCAAGCCACAAACCAACCGCAAACCACCCTACAATCCGAACAACCCACAACCTTGCCTCGAAAACCCTACACCCGAAACCAAAATCCGCCTAGACCCTAAACCCTAAACCCTAAACCCTAAATCCTAAACCCTAAACCCTAAACCCTGAACCCCAAACCCTAAACCCTGAACCCCAAAACCCTAAACCCTAATCCCCAAACCCTAAACCCTAAACCCTGAACCCTTCACCTTGCAACCCCAAACAGCCCACAACCTTGCCGGGGTCCGCCCAGGCCTCGTCGTCTGCAACGCAGCCGTCACCGCCCTGGGAAGGGCAGCGGCCTGGGCCCAGGTCGCGCTTGAAGAGGGTTGAGGATTTAGGGTTTGGGGTTTGGGGTTTGGGGTTTAGGGTTTGGGGTTTGGGGTTTGGGGTTTGGGGTTTAGGGTCCAGGGTTTGGGGTTTAGGGTTTAGGGTTTCGGGTTTGGAGCTTAGGATTTAGGGTTTGCGGCTTTTTGGGCTTAGGGTGAGGAAGTTGGTTTAGGAGTTTAGGTTGGGGTGGAGGGTCCTTTCAGAAGAACTTGTTGGTTGAGGGGTTTAGGGTTTGGGGGTTTAGGGGTCGGAGGGCTTAGGCTTCAGAAGAAAGCGGGATGGGGTTGAGGGTTTGGGGGGTTGAGAGGTTGAGGGGTTGATGGGTTTAGGGGTTTGGTTGTTTGTTGGGGTTTGGAGCGGTTTATGGGGGTGTATGGGGGTTTCGGGGTTTATGGGGGGGTTTTGGGCCGCGGGCTTAGGTTTTCAAGAGAAGCTGGAAAGAAGGGAGCTTGGGGTTTAGGGGGTTTAAGGAAGTAGGGCTTAGAGTTAAGGTTTTGGTATGGAACTGGGGGGGTATTCTTGGTGTAGGGTTTTCAGAAGAAGGGTTCAGGTGTCAGGGGCTTAGGAGTGCAGGGTCTAGGCTCTAGGGTTTTGTAAACGGAAACTGGGGTTGAAGGGTTTGAAGGGCTTTGAGGTGTCATGTCTTTAAGGTTTGGGGTTGGGGGATTAGGTGAGGACTGCCAGAAGGAGCCCTGCATGGCAAACCCTGAACCCGAAGTTTAGGTTTAGGTTTTAGGGTTTAGGGTTTAGGGTTTAGGGAAACTACTGCAACCCAAAAGCCCAAACTCGCGAGAGCTGGCCCGGCTTTGAGTCTTACTATTGGTCGAAGGCCCGAATCGCAACCCGAAAGCCGAAGCCCCCCTAAACCCCAAACCCTAAACCCTAAACCCTGAACCCTAAACCCCAAACCCTAAACCCTAAACCCCAAACCCTAAACCCAAACCCCTCCCAAATCAGCGCCCTGGTCCAGGCGCTGTCTCTTCTTTCCCACGCAGTCCAGATCCTGAAGGTGCACCGTTAGGGGTTTTAGGAGTTTTAGGGGTTTAGGGTTTGGGGTTGAGTTTAGGGTTTAGGGGTTTAGGGTTTAGGGCTTTGGGGGTCTGGGTTTAGGGGGTTTAGGGTCTAGGGTGTAGGGGTTCAGGGTTTAGGGGGGTGCAGGGCAAGTTGAGGGTTTAGGGTTTTTAGGGATTAGGGGTTTAGGGTAAGTTTAGGGTCACAGGGAGCTTCGAGAGGTTTAGGGAGTTCAGGGTTGCTGCGGAGTTTGGGGGGTCAGGGGGTTTGGGCTGTTAGGGGTGGCGGGTTTAGGGGTTTAGGGGCTTCGCCGAGGATTTTTGGGACTTGGGGCTGGCGCGGGGAGAGTTTTGCTCTGTTTTGTTGGGTAATTGGGGTTGCTTGAGGTTTCAGGAGGTCATAGCTTTCGGTCTTTTTCGCGTTGGGGGACTCTAGGGGTGTCTGTAAACTCACCCTAAACCCCAAACCCGAAACCCCAAACCCTAAACCCTAAACCCTAAACCCTAAACCCTAAAATGTTACAGCAAGAGCCTCAGGGGAGTAATGCCTTCTTCTGTTTAGGGTGTAGTTCGCCCACGGTTCTAGAAAAGCTGTGGCCAAGGTTGGTGCTTAGGGTTTAGAGGTTTAGGGTTTAGGGTTTAGGGTTTAGGGG